GGGACAAAGGTGCTCAGGTCCCCGCAGCTCCGCAGGTGCAGCAGGCCAGGCCGTCTCTGCGAGGGCAGCACATGGGCCTGGGGCAGGCCGGGCTGTGTTGGGGCCATGATCTTCGGGAGAACAAACAGGGTGATAAGGGGTCACAACAGCTTCACCAGATGTGATCCTCACACCCACCTTCTCAGTTCATCAGGTAATGTTTAGCTTTCCCAAAGTGGAACCCACTTGGAATTCCAGAGAGACTCTTAACATATTCTCTCTTTGCTACAGTTCCTAAGAAATTCCCCCAATTTTCTATTGCTTCAGCTGTAGGCCTGCCACACTTATTTGTTTCCTGCAATTTCTCACTTTATAGTTAACATTGGTCTCGTCAGGTTTTTCCAGTTTCCCTGTGATCCAAGTCAGCAATTCTCACTAGGCCTGCACATCACTGGAGGGGAGGAGAGCTTGTCAGAAACGCAGGTTCCCTGCTCTCCCCACAGCAATGCTAACACGGGAGGGTGGACTGGGGCTTGGGCATCTGTGGTTTTAACAAGAACCCAGGTGATACTGATGCACTTGAAAATCTTATAACCACTGGTCTGGGATCATTCCTAAGTGATAAGTTCATAAAATGTCAATGAAAACCAGTGACACTTAATCGATCTGATAAGTCTTCAGTAAAATGATAAACGACAGAAAAACTAGGCCAATTTATTTGGAAAAACTTTTAAAAGTGTTCATGCTCTGAGATCTGTTTTGCAATATAGCATATATATAACTGTAAATATATTATCTAATGGCAAAAATGAGAAATCTCTGATTCAAAAGGGATTGATAAGGGGAGATCTGTCGTGTTTTAATTTTTTAAAAATTCACATTCACGTCTGTATGAACTACATTGTTGTCAGCACCTTGGGAAAAACTCAAGTGTTTTATTACCAGCTAACATCACAGAACAATCATTTGGACGATTTTTTTGTTTAGTTTGTACCATTCTGAGATGTTAAGGTCATTATAAGGTTAATCCCCCCCAAAGATGGGACATTAAATTTTGCTAACACTCTATTATGATCTTTGTCTTTAAGGCTGTCTTGGTTTCCTGGGTAAGAAAATTCCAACATTCATAGACGTCTACTGTTGTTACATCGTAAGTTAGGACAGGAGGTTTCGATATTGGTAAAGTTAAAATGGATATAAAAACACATTCCAGTAATACTATTGAAGGTGAAAATGTGCTAAAGCTGAGTAGAATCAGAAATAAAGGCTCCCTTCCCCTTGTCCCTCTGTCTTTCTTTTGAGCAGTGGTGCGGCATCATGCTGCCTCACCACCGGGATCCAGTTCTGGAAGCCCCAGCAGGTGGCCCAGGTTCCACCGCAGCAATCCCAGTCCCTGAACGTTTATCCAGCCTGCGCACAAAGCCCTAGCAGACATTTGTAGCGATTGCATGTGTTGAACTGTAAGTGCTTATTCTTTCTCCCCAAAGCTAGTTTCCAGCAAAACTTTGCAGAAGGTCCAGACCAATAGCTCCACAGGCGCCCCAGCTCTTACCTCACCGGAACTCAGCAGCTCCAAATACTTGCTCCTGCTTATCAGGCAACTGGGGCTGACCAGAGGGAAGGAGGCAGGGAATGACATCTGGAGTAGATCAGGGACACGCGGTTGTTCGTGTCACTTCTACACGGGCTACGCCCCGGAGCCTGACCCAGGACCACTGGCTGGCTGACCACTGTTTCCATAAGCAAACCAGAGGGCCCATGGCTCGTGTACCTCTTCCCACGGGTAATCAGACTGCTCTCCTGCCTCCCAGGGTCCCCTGAGGGATGGGAGAGAATTTGGCTTCTGGCTTCTGTCAGAAGAGGCCAACAGGTGGGAAGGGGAACAGAAAGCAAAGTGAAAAGGGGATTCGTTCAATCTGCCTTAAAAACGTAGCTAGGATTTTATAGCTGGTAATGACCCTGAGAATCAGGCCAATTCAACTCAAGAAGTATCTGACGGGCACATCAGACTCACAAGCACAACCAAGCGACACCCGGGAGCCACTGGGCCCTGAGGTCTACAACCACCGCCCCACAGGCACAGAGCAATGGTGTAAAGGCCTAAAAAGCAGACGCTGCTTTAGAAGAGGTGGGTGAGGAAAGCGGCGACCCATCCCTGCTCTAGTCAGAGGGACGTTCCATTCGCTCAGAGATACAGGCGCAGAGATCTCCTAGTCCAGCCCTTCACTTTAAAGATGAGAAGCCTGACACCCAAGTGGAAAATTTATCTTTTCACCGGTGGCTTCTGTTTGGGGATTGCCTTTTACTTTTTAATCCATGGAAAGGAAAAGGTGTTTGTTCCCTTAAGTTCTATTGGCGTAGGTAATCTCGCCAAACATCTCATGGGAGTGTGAACAGCTCCCAGAATCTTGCCAATATTAAAATTCACATTTGTCCATCACCGTCAAAGGGCTGAAAAAAACGCATCAGATCAAGGGAAACTTTCATCTTAGGAAGTCGAATGTTGAGTGTATCTGCACTGCCCATAGCCTTTGCTTTCATCCCTGAGTTGCACCCTTTTTTCTTCCCAGGCAGGCTTCCGTATCCCGGAAAAATTTCTTTTCTCTTGGGCCGAGAAGGCTGTGGAAAAGTCACCATACCTGAGAAGAAAGCACACAGCCGTCCTCCTCTCCCTCCCCAGACCGCCTACGCCCATTCCCCCGATGCAGTGACCATGACCTTTCTGTGCCTGGGATAGGAAAGCAGAGAAGCTGCTTCAGCGGCTATGGAAACGAGTTCTCCTACTCATGCCTGATATTAATAATAAAACTACCTGTTCTAGAAAACTGGCGCTCGTAATGGCCTCTTCCATGTGCTCCTCATCGGACTTCAAAACAGATTTAATGTTTTCTACAAGTTCATGGATGTCCGGGGTCATCCTGCAGGACGACTGCTCCAGGAACCTCGCCACCAGCAGCTTGGTGTCCATGTAAGATTTGTAATCTATTAAAGACCTCGGTCGGCATCTCGAAGCTCTGGATCTCAACCCTCTTCTCAAGGTCACCGCAGTTGGATCCGGTCTCCCCTCAGTCTGAGTTGCAGCTTCACAGCTGAGCACGGGGGCGGCTGTGGACAGAGACAAGCAACATGCACCCATTGGCCAAGCCCTGTGAACACGCGCCTGTACCGGAAACAGCAGAGATCATGAAACTCGGCGTGGAAAGCAAGTGACAAATGCCGACTGCCATGCACATCTTGCTTTTCCTCTTGCAGAAAGAAGAGGAAAAAAACCCAACAACTATGACACAAGCTTATTCCCTGAAGGATAATTTCATGGCCCCCAAATATTGTATTGTGCCACATAAACACAGCCATCCAGGTAAAGACAGATGACAGAGAAGAGCATCCAGAATGTTACAGAGCAATGGTCTCATGAGGTGATGACCAGCATATCGGGGTGGGGGAGCAGGCAGAAAACTTTGGTTGACCGATGGAAGAATGTTCCAAGGCAGGGAGGATGAAGAAGCCACTTAAAGAGAGAGACTGAGGAGAGACGAGACTTGTGGGATGAATGGAATGCTCTGCTCACGTGGACGGTACCTTCGTCCTAAACATCCTCAGGGGCACTGTACTGACTTAGAGTTTTGACGCTCGCACCGTGACAGGGTGGTGGCAGGGTGGTGGTGGGGAGGTGGCGCTACGGCTGACTAGAAAGAGAAGCCGAGTGTAGAAAAAGTACACGTCATCCTGGAAGTCAGCCGCGGGCCTGGGAAATCCAATGCAGGCTCTAATTTCACAACTACCTATTTCAGCAAGGGTATAAGGGCGGGCAGAATATTACTGCCCTGGCAGGAGGGTGAAGGGAAATCAGGCCTGGTCTCCATGTGTTCATAAGGCAGCCAGCAGCCTTCAGTGTACACGACACTGTAGATTTCAGTCTGCAAGGGTCTGAGAAGCAGGAATCTAGATATTCAAGGAAGGAGGCATGGGGTAGGAACACAAGTGCAGGAAGGGGAAAGGTGGGCGTGAGAAGCTCTAAGCAGAGGCTGGCAGCCGTCTTCCTAGGCTGCTATGTGCAAGTCACAGAGAACCGGGGTCTTCCAGGAACCCTTGCTACAGACTCTCAGGTGTGAGGACACAGTCAAGGACCACACTCAGTCACTCGAAGGCAACTGGTCCCTTCCCCAGTAGAGGGCTCCAACAGGGAGGCACGTGTCATCCTTGCCCCTGCAGAACTGCAGAAGGGGAGCAGGTTCTGGAAAGATCTCGCTAAGCTGTGCAGACAGCTAAGTTCCCACTGAAGCCGCAGGTGGCCGTCTCGCGTCCTCAGCATGCCAGGTGGGGCAGAGGACCACGTGGTGAAGACGGGTCCAGGGAGCTGAGGGGCCGGGCTGCTGGCCTGCTCGGGAGCAGAGGGCGGCGGGACTCCTCCCTGCTCAGAAGCCGCTGGAGAGACAAGAGGAGTGTTCTCTCTGGCTCCCACAAGGTCAGTCCAGAGCTGCGGCAAACAACACACGCTGTCAGAGGGACAGAACCGAACTGGGGGGGGGGCTGTGGGGCCGGGGACAGAGCAGGGCGAGATAGTCTGCAAAGCCGTATTGCACAGAGCTTGACAAGAGCATGGGCCACTGGTTAGAACAGGTCACCGAAAGAAGCCTGTGCTGGTGGGATTACAGAAGATTTCCATTTTCTCCCTTTATTTCCTTTATTTTTTATAATTTTCTATGGTGAAGAGGTATTTGGAGATGTTCAGGTAGTCATACTCAGAAAGAAGATTCAGTGTTATTTTAAGTTTAACACAATTTTAAATTAAAAAAATTTTCATTATTAAAATTTAGAAGTATTCAAATAACATCTATACACAAACTCAAAACAGGAAGGGAGAGGGAGCATTAGAGTTTCACTGTATCTGAAGTGCTTAAAACAAGGTCAGATTTAAATAATTCAAATCTGCTCATACACAGCAAAAAGATAGCTAATATTAAATTATAGAAGGGGTAAAAACAACTACACCCCTGTGACCTTTTCCTGGAGAACGTTCATTCCCACAGGACAGTGAGAATCTAGGAACTGGATCTACGTTTGCGCAACTTTCTTCATTGGTACCCAGTACACTATCACGTGCAACCAAATGCTTTTGATGATAGTGACTTGACAAGAAAAAATCCTACCAGCTTTAAAAGACATGGTAGATGTCTGTCCCTAACGTGCATGCAAAATACCTTATGTTCCCAAGACCTCTCAACCCCCTCAAACTCTCTCTTGAACCACAGGGCCTTGGGTGGCTAGAGCCACTTGGCACCTTTCGGCAAATGAGCACAGGCCCTGCAAAGAGCCTGGGGACGGACATCACCTCTCTCTGCTGACTGATGGAGCACAGGGTCACTCCTGGATCTCGTCCTCAGGGGCTGGAGGGCTCCCCGGCTCCTCGCCGGGCGTGTCTGGTTTGAGTTGGGAGTTGAGAGGCATGCTCTTTCTTCTCCAGGTGTGTTAGGAATGCCCCCACCTGATTTTTTTTTTTTTAGAAGAAGAGAAACATAAATTATTTCACCAGTTGGCGCCTTCAAAATGTTGGGCAGGAAATACCCGTGAGCCCAAACATGCCGGGACAAGGGTAACACAGTTAATAGCACTTGCTTGGGCTGCGGGCCCAGTTAAGTTTTAATTTCCCAGCACTGTGGGAAATGCTGCCTCCCCAAACTGCCCCTCCACACCTAGAACAAACAAACACAACGCTCTGAATCCAAGAGCAGAGAAAGAAGCCGTGCCAAAATGCCTTCAGGTGCTTAGACTCTTCTTCAGTGAAGCATCCTGGTGCAGCACCGGGAAGCTCCTAGCCATGTTATGTGTCTGACAGTCAGGATGAGCTTGACTCATCCTGGAAGGTAATAATACTGGAACTGGTGAGGGGCTGCTCTGCGGGCTGCAGGGCTGATGCTGGCAGAGGCGGTAACCACGGGCCGGGCTGTGAAACTCCTGGAAAGCCAAGTTAAAGAGCCCGTGGCCAATAATGAATCAGTCAAACCACTCTGGAGTAGGATGACTGCTGCTCGGGAAAATAAAATCCTATCTCTTGTGGGCCTTAGGTATGGTTTGGGAAACTATTTTGAGAAATGGAAGAATTACAGACACACTTAGGAAACAGAACCCTGCTGCATAATTCTACTTAAGATGGAAGGTGCACAGGACAGAACAGAAACCCATTTCCTATGGTGCTGTTGAAAAACTACCTCTGTCTGAAATAGATAAAAGTTGATCCATTATATATCACCATTTGCAATTTTGTCCCGTGGACAATCTCTGGACCATTTAAAACCTCTCCGAAGAGAGAAAGCGGTAATGCTGTTCCCTTAAGTTACAAGGAGAAATGTAAATTGACTCTACTATTTAATACAGGATTGGAAATCAGCGTTCAGTACATGTGAAGGCAGAATGACCTAGGTCCTAGGTTATAAATGGGCAAGTCACTCTGCAAAGGATGAAACCATTTTTGTCCCTTTAAAAGAGCTCATCTTATTTTAACAGAAGAAAAAAAAATCTTGCATCAGAAAACACAGGAATGCCAAATTAAACTCTGTTATCCATTTCTGAAAACAGCCTGGTTATTCATAAGAGATTTTAAGGATATCTTCATTTCTGTTCACACAGTATCTCCTATTTGTAAGCCCTAAAAGTTGATAGCACAGTATCATACAGATCATTATTTTATCCGTTTTAATCTACTGAGTCATGAGTTTGGGCAGCAATGATGTATTTATTACCTTGAGTCACTGGTATGCAGATCGGTTCCAATGGGCTGGTGGCAGCTTCTGGCCCATCTGGCATTCGGAATGAAGATCCCTGCATCACAGGGGAAAGAGGGCTATCTGCTGATACTCAGCTCAACCATCACCTGGACTGGAGTGAACTTAAAAAGATCTGCAGGACATGGTCCCTCCCCAACCCCAGCTGCTTTTCCCACTTGCCCGTCAATGTAGCAGAGAGAAACTCTATGGACAGTACCTGCTGCTGGTCTGTCTGGCTCACCACAGCTTCATAGGGAGGTGGGGGGTCCAGAGGACAAAACACTTCCACACCTTTGATCCGTGCCCCATAGATGTGCGGCAATGGAATAACATCAGGACCAACCATCCTAGGAAGAGCATCTTGGCATCAGGAGGCACGTTTTGGCCATCTGACAGTAGCGGCTCCTGCATACTGGCCTTTGCCTCTAGAGGGTTATCCACTGACAACAGGGAAAATCCCTCACCTCCCGCCCCACACAGTCTCTCGGTCCAGGAGTAGCAGAGTAACCTAAACTGCTCAGTGATGGAATGCCCGGAGTTCTTAGGCAAGTGACAACATAGAAAATGCAATACCATCATTCCTTTTAAATCCACCAGACAAAAAGCAAACAATAATCCAGAAGAGACAGAAAGCGAATTAGTGGTTGCCCAGGGGCTTGGGGAAAGCGAGAAATGGGGAGTGACTGCTTTAGTGGATATGGGGTCTCCCTGGAGGTGATGAAAATGCTTTAGAACTAGACGGAGGTGAGGTTGCACCATACTGTGAATGTACTAAATGCCACTGAATTGTACACTTTCAAATGGTTAACTTCATGTTATGTGAATTTTACCTCAATTAAAAAAAAAACTAAAGACAGGGAAACTCAAATATTTCTTACAGTACACGACAAAAGTTTCTCGCCGAGGTTTCCCTAATGTCTGATTCATGGCAGAAACTCACTACTTGTTGAATAAATATTTGAAACAATAAGTATGTTTTTCAAAAAGAAGTGAACAACGTCACAGCTCAGAGCCAGCACGGCACGCGGCAGGAGGCGTCCCGGAGCGCCTCATCCTAAGGGTGGCGGTTCTAGCAAACACTGGCGGAGCCCCGGCCCCGAGCCAGGCACTGCGGCTTCCGTCCTGGGGGCGAGGGGGCTTAACAGCAAAACATAAAACCAAAAAACCCACAGGATTTTCTGCCAGTGTTCACAGAAAATTATACACAAATTATCGAGATAATAAAGAACCTAAATTTTAAAGTAACTTAAAAATACACGAAAGTTTGTACCTTATGACGAAATTTCCAGTTATAAAATATACGTAAATAAGTCCCGGGAAAGTAACGCACAGCGAGGCAACCACAGTCAGGAACACTGTATGGTGTACCTGAAAGCTGCTAAGAGAGCC